TCGCCGCCATTTTAGGAAAAATTTCGAATTTTCCTAATATTCGAAACGAATTCCACTTCGCCTACTTCGAATTCGCTCATCTCTACTTGTAACTGATTTCAAGGCCTGAGAAAGTCATGTTCATAGCCTTGACCAGTATCTAGCGAGATTCTATTGTATGTAGTAGATAAGTGTTTTAAAACAATGTAGAAACTTTTATTCCTGGGAAAGTTAAACTCGGCTTCTCATCACTTTTCAGAATTGACGTCAATGTTGTCTTTTTGTATTCAGCCAATCAATTACTGACAACTCAGCTTTTTGATACTCTGTGCCCCCCCACCTTTCTTTTTTCTGTTATATTAATTTTCTTTCCCGCTAATAAACTTGAGAGATTGATTTCAACTATCACTGTGTGTATGTCTGTTGTCTTTTCTGAGATGAAGTCAATCTCCCCGACGCGTCGTGCCCTCAGCAGCCTGATAAAGACTGATAGCCAGGGCTATCGACAACCTTTCAGTATCCACCGTCAATGCAAACGAAACAAATAGCCTCCTGGCTCTCTCAGGTATACAGCCCCCTTGCTGCTCTGGCTCCCACCTCTCCTAGGTGGAGCCCTCCTGACTCCTGGGCAATGACTTCCTGTCTGTCGGGGGAGCCCAGAACCATGGTTTGGCCTCTACAAAAAGGCCTGCACACACCTGTACAATTAGTGTGCTGGGGGTTCTGAAAACACGGACCCAGGATTGGAAATTTCATCCTGCCCAAATCACTCCGAAATCTCTAGGCCCCAGGTCCCAAAATGGGCTTTACAAATCAACAAAGAAACTAAAAACCAGTTTCCCCCTGCATTACGCAAACAGCCTGGAGCCCCTCAACCTGTATAGCTGAGAACCCTGAGTTATAACCTCGATTTAGACCGTGGCAGGATGCCAGATACCGCACTGCCACAACCTATAAAAATGTAATGTCTATAATTCAACCTCTCGTATTCCCGACTGACTGTTCTCGGGGGACAACCTCGGGGGACAACCTCAGGGGACAACCTCTCGTAGTCCCGAGTGTTTTCGGGGGAACAACCTCAGGGGACAACCTCAGGGGCAACCTCAGGGGACAACCTCTCGTAGTCCCAACTGACTGTTCTCGGGAACAACCTCAGGGGACAACCTCAGGGGACAACCTCTCGTAGTCCCGACTGACTGTTTCTCGGGGAACAACCTCAGGGGACAACCTCAGGGGACAACCTCTCGTAGTCCCGAGTGTTCTCGGGGAACAACCTCGGGGGACAACCTCGGGGGCAACCTCAGGGGACAACCTCTCGTAGTCCCGACTGACTGTTCTCGGGAAACAACCTCAGAGGACAACCTCAGGGGACAACCTCTCGTAGTCCCGACTGACTGTTCTCGGGGGAACAACCTCGGGGAGAACCTCAGGGGACAACCTCTCGTAGTCCCGACTGACTGTTCTCAGGGAACAACCTCAGGGGACAACCTCAGGGGACAACCTCTCGTAGTCCTGACTGACTGTTCTCCGGGGGAAAACCTCGGGGGGACAACCTCAGGGGACAACCTCTTGTAGTCCCGATTGACTGTTCTCGGGGGGACAACATATTTGGACGGGTAAGAAACCCTTGATTTAGCCTCAAAAATTGAACTGAGAAAAAGAGGCCAGTCCAGTGTCTGGGTGGGAGTCTGCCAAACCAAGAATTCTGTCTTGTCCAGCAGTATCGATCCCTGATGAGGAGAACCCTTTAGAACCCTGTGGATCCCTGGACAGGCGAGTGCTTCTTTTTCAACACAACAAACACTTTTGTCCTGCGCTAGGAATGGACTCAGTTGTTCTGTTAGTCCATCCTGCTCAGATGCTCACACACTGTAGTTAGTAGGAGACATTTTTATTAGGTGCTCCTAGCTGCCATTATACATGTGTCTGCCCCCTAGAACTACAACCAAAGAGAGGCAATAACACAGTTGTACCAGTTATGTAAGTAGTGAGACCCCTAGAGGCCATACACAGCATATAAACATATTGCTACATCAGTAGACCCAATAGGGATGTTCTGGAATATTCTGGAATAGGCACTGCTTGCTGCCCTCTACAGACCGGGGTGGTCCAAAAACACTAGATGCAAATGGAGAAACAAAAAAAAAAAAGTGCCCCTTTTTAAAAGGTCATCAGATGCAGTATTTGTAGTTACTGAAGTTTATTTTTTTCTTAAGACTAAAGATCTTCCTTAAGGTTCAGTGCCTACAGAGATGAATAACTTGCTATGGGCATCAAAAGATGTATGCATGGGGTCCATACTACAGGAACGAGGTCCATACCCCGCATTCACTATATCCGCTCTCCCGGACCCCGCATTCCCCTACTCTCTCCCCGAAAACCCCGCATTCACTATATCCGCTCTCCCCGGACCCCGCATTCACTATATCCTCTCTCCCCGGACCCCGCATTCACTATATCCGCTCTCCCCGGACCCCGCATTCACTATATCCTCTCTCCCCGGACCCCGCATTCACTATATCCGCTCTCCCCCGGACCCCGCATTCACTATATCCTCTCTCCACCCGGACCCCGCATTCCCTATATCCGCTCTCCCCCATCGGACCCCGCATTCACTATATCCGCTCTCCACCCGGACCCCGCATTCACTATATCTCCTCTCCCTGGACCCCGCATTCACATATCCGCTCTCCCCGGACCCCGCACTCACTATATCCGCTCTCCACGGACCCCCGCACTCACTATATCCGTCTCTCCCCGGACACCCGCATTCAACTATATCCGCTCTCCCCTGACCCCCCCCATTCCACTATATCCGCTCTCCCCGGACCCCGCATTCACTATATCCGCTCTCCCCGGACCCCGCATTCACTATATCCGCTCTCCCCGGACCCCGCATTCACTATATCCGCTCTCCCCGGACCCCGCATTCACATATCCGCTCTCACCCCGGACCTCGCATTCACTGTATCCGCTCTCCCCTGATACTACAGGGTCCGGGTTTAATAACACTTTTAACTCTGAGATTCCTATCAGTGTACACCGATGGGTGATATTTGTGTGTTCCACATGGATGGAATGAAACCAATATGTAACTTCTTATATGACAGATGAGTCCCTCACAGTCCCCCGTATTGGGATTCCATGGACAACACAAACCTCAGCTGAAGGTCCGGACACTTTCCCCCCCTTCCAGTCCAGAACACTCCCCCCCTTCCCCCCCCCCGTTCCAGTACCCACGACACTTTCTCCCCCTTCCAGTCCGGACACTCTCCCCCCCCTTCACAGTCCGGACACTCTCCCCCTTCCTGTCCGGACACTTTCACCCCCCTTCCAGTCCGGACACTTTCACCCCCTTCCAGTCCGGACACTTTCAACCCCCATTCCAGTCCGGACACTTTCCCCTTCCCCCCTTCCTGTCCGACACTTTCTACCCCCTTCCAGTACCGGACACTCATTCACTTTCACCCCCCTTCCAGTCCGGACAAGTTTTCACCCACCTTCCAGTCCGGACACTTTCAACCCCTTCCAGTCCGGACACTTTCCCCCCCTTCCAGTCCCGGACACTTTTCCCCCCCCTTCCAGTCCGGACACTTTCCCCCCCTTCCAGTCCGGACACTGTCCCCCCCCAATTCCAGTCCGGACACTTTCCCCCCCTTCCATCCGGACACTTTCCCCCCCTTTCCAGTCCGACACTTTCCCCCCCTTCCAGTCCGGACACTTTCCCCCCCTTCCAGTCCGGACACTGTCCCCCCCCTTTCCAGTCCGACACTTCCCCCCCCTTCCAGTCCCAGACACTTTCCCCCCCTTCCAGTCCGGACACTTTCCTCCCCTTCCAGTCCGGACACTTCCCCCCCCCCCTTCCAGTCCGGACACTTCCCCCCCCCTTCCAGTCCGGACACTTTCCCCCCCTTCCAGTCCGGACACTTTCCCCCTTTCCAGTCCGACACTTTCCCCCCTTCCAGTCCGGACACTTTCCCCCCCCTTCCAGTCTGGACACTTTCCCCCCCTTCCAGTCCGGACACTTTTCCCCCCCTTCCAGTCCGGACACTTTTCCCCCCCTTCCAGTGTGGAACACTTTCCCCCCCTTCCAGTCCGGACACTTTCCCCCCTTCCAGTCCGGACACTTTCACCCCCTTCCTGTCCCGGCACACTCCCCCCCTTCCAGTCCGGACACTCCCCCCTTTCCAGTCCGGACACTTTCCCCCCCTTCCAGTTCGGACACACTTTCCCCCCCCTTCCAGTCCGGACACTTTCCCCCCCTTCCAGTCCGGACACTTTCCCCCCTTCCTGTCCAGGCCAATTTCCAGCTTTCAGCGCTATCACACTTTGAATGACAATTGCGCGGGTCATGCAACACTGTACCCATATGAATTTTTTAGCATTTTTTTGGGACAGATAAAGCTTTATTTTGTGGTATTTATTCACACCGCTGGGAGTTTTATTTATTTTTGCTATATAAATGAAAAACTCCCAAAAATTTTGAAAAAGTTTTTCGTATTTTGCAAATAAATAATATTTCATTATAAATCTTGGCCAAAAATGTATTCTGTTATCTTTTTAGTAAAAAAAAAAATAACCCAAATTAGTTTATAACCAAAAATTATAATTTTCAAACATTTTTTTTTACATTTTTATTATTTTTTTTTATGTTATTATTTATATTTATTTTTTTACATACTGGCACCCTAGCAGTATGGGGTCACCATGGTGACACTGTACTACTTGTTGGGGGTGATGAAGATTTTTTTTTTTTTTTTTTTTTTTTTTTTACACTGATTGCTTTTTACACACCCATAAGGCTGTAAAAGCAATAATTTCTCCTTCTCTCTGGCTGCATTCTTGCAGCCATTGAGAACTACTGTGTGAGCTGTGATTGTCACAGCTTGTCACAATGGTACACAGGCTGTTGTGAATGGCCCTGTGCCATGTGACCTCCTGTGAACCTCTGTGAACATTCACAGATTTCACAAGTAGTAAGCAATGATGTCAGAAACAGTAACATCTTGCTTACTACTCTGCATGTGATCACAGAGGTCCCGTCCGATGATCGGTGTTCCGCTGGGTCCTTCGGACACAGTGGGCACCTGATCGCGGCACCTGATCGGGGTGCTGCGTGCTCCCAGGAAGCACGCACAAGCAGGTGTGGGGGGAGGTTGTTTTTTATACAGTGGCCGGACAAGAAGGGGTTAATACACATTTCCTCCTGTGTTCTTCAAGTAGACATGGAGACGACATCTACTGAGAATTTATGGTTGTGGTTGGTTTATGTAAGGATAATTATTTATAAAGGGCGTGTCCCTTTCCCTTAGATTGAAATATTACAGTGCCTCCAGCCGTTAAAATACGGCAAATATTTAGTAAACCAATAATTTGGACACCTTGATAATTCGATCACCACTTATTATTATACCTTGAATTCTTTTTAGCCAATATGATTTCGTACCATACACACAAAATTTGCCTTATAATATGATAAATATAAAAATTTATTTATGTAAACAAAATTATATATATCTATTAACACAAAACACAAAAGACTGGTGATAAATGAATATTGTTGACATCACAATCAAAAATATATCTACCAATGTAAGACACAATAATAAGGTCTCTAACTTAATTACATCAATCACAATTTTAAATTATATGATATTTATTAAATTTATTAATAATTAATAAGTTTCGAATATCTCAAAGGTTATATTTCTTACATGCCGTGGCCATAGGCTTGCAAGAAGTAAGCCCTTGATTATTATTCGAAATTATTAATTATTAATAAATTTAATAAATATCATATCATTTAAATTTGTGATTGATGTAATTAGTTAGAGACAAATTAGTGTGTCTTACATTGGTAGGGCATATATTTTTGATTGTGTGCTACCAATATTCATTTATCACCAGTCTTTTGTGTTTTGTGTTAATATATATATAATTTTGTACATAAATAAATTTTTATAATTATCTATTATAAGGCAAATTTTGTGTGTATGGTACGAAATCATATTGGCTAAAAGAATTCAGGTATAATAATAAGTGGTGATCAAATTCATCAAGGTGTCCAAATTATTGGTTTACTAAATATTTGCCGTATTTTAACGGCTGGAGGCACTGTAATATTTCATCTAAGGAAAGGGACACGCCCTTTATAAATAAAATATAATTATCCTTACATAAACCACCACAACTATAAATTTGGAGGCACTGCTGAGATCCAGTAGTAAATCGTACCATAACACAAAAACGCACTGGTGATTGTATATTTGTACACGTTATCAAACAAAAATATTTTTTGTATCAAAATGGCAGCAACCATATCATCACGGATCCACCTCGACTTCCAAGCATAACGAGGAAAATATAATGGCGGCCCAAGGTGTTCGAGGAAGAAACTCTGAAGCCAGCCCGGAAAGCTGCCGGTGCTTGCAGAATTATGTTGAATGTGGAGTAAAATAGATAATCTCCGCAAGAGAATTAGGTCTGGGGATAGCCATAATGAGTTTGTGGATGAAGAAAAAAAACAGGCTATGAGCCACCTTTGAGGACCTGTTTAACCAAAAAAAGGGCCAGTTGTTGGGTTTTTAATGGCATTTGGGGCTGGAGCAGAAAGTGATAGAGGCCGTGACAGACTTCTCCTAGAAGCTTGGCCCATGTTATGGTTCAT